GCTCGGGTGTCTCTTTCCCCCTTTCGCGGGGGGGGGGGGGATCTCCTTGTGGATGTATCCATTCCCTTACTCTTGGAGTTCATCTTCATAGTTTGCCATGTTCAAGGATTCTCTCTGTCAGTCTCTGAGAAACCTTCTCCATTGATCTTCATTTGAATGCTGCAAAAAGTTCCACCTTTTGTAAAATTGTAAGTACGCCTTCTGCAACTGACTGGATGACTAACTTCCTACTGTATACAATATTAGACATTGCTTGTCTCCACACAGTTTTTTTCTTTTTTTAAATGTTACTGTCAGATTCCTCCATCTGCTGTCCTACATTTAACAAAATGGGGGTAATACATGTGGATGTATCGTCCTCTCCCTCACAAGGAAATATTATTTTATTAATCCTGTACTTCCTGCAAAGGTCAGCTTTCCCTTAGTGCCATAGTGTAACTCTAGAAATGTTGGAGGGACCTAACCCTCTTCTTACCTCCAATTAAGACTAATTGTCTCAGGTGCCGGCATTCAAGGGTCAGGTAACCTAGGCTTCAGCTTGCTTCCTTTTTTTTTTTACCTCTGTCCTGTTGTTCAAATTTTTTCTCTTTGGAGACTTCTACTTTTTTGTCTTATGGTGCATGCTTGGTTGTTCTCCACATTATCAGTTGAGACCCATCCTTCCATCAGGTATCAATTCCCTGTTTTCATGTCCTATATCTGGAACACCAGGTCCTCAGAGTCCTTTTTCTTGATTATAGCAATTTACATATTTGCCTTCATCCCTTTTTCATATAGCCTTCACCAGACATTGATAGCTTTAGATTTCCTTCCACATCCATTGGATCTTTAAGTGGCTGTTGCCTACCCCCTTAGGTGGACTGCTTTTGGACATCGTCACATAAACAGACCCGTAGTGGAAATCTAAAAATTGCTCTAGTCCAAAAGGTGCATGAGAGTATTAGGCCTCATTCACAATATACGCGCGTACGTGCATATTGTAGCATATGCAATATATGCAAATAAATGGCTCCATACACATAGCCGCGTATGTAGCCGTATATTTGCGTAGCGTATATATGCTCAAAAAACAGAATGGAACTTAGATGCGTCCGGGCAGCGTATGTCTGCGTATTTTACGTGCATACGCATGTTTGCGCGTGTATACGCGCGTATATGCGTACAGTGCATTAAAATTTCCATTAGGAATAATGCATTCTGGGAATGCAAATAGTGCACGCATATACGGACATACGCTCGTATATACGCCCATAGACGCTCGTATATACGCAATATACAATTTTGCTTGCGTTGTGTGTGTATGAGGCCTTAGTCAATAGGGAGCCTATTGACTAAAAACTCACATGACTGAAACCCCCCAAAAAACCTTTAAAACTAACTTTAAAGTATATTTAAAACCTACCTAGATTAATTAGTTTGGTTATGGTTAAAAATGTATAAATATATATTTTTTAAATGGCTGATTTATTGAGTACCATTAACTTCTATTTCTAAAGAATACTCATCTTTTCTTACTTTCAAATTACCATTCAAACAAGCAACTAACAATGGATTGGATTAGCAAGCAATATGTTACAGACTGGCAAATCTCTTTTGATATATGGCAGTGTGATTCTATTAATTTCTGTTGCAGCTACTCTGACCACATGCACAGCCTGACTGTTTTTCAAACTTATTGAAATTGTAGAGTCTGTTGATGGGTAGCAGATGGCAGGCACCAACTGATTACTGAAACTGACATACCGATATCATGTCTTATATAAAATAAAACAATTTCTCAATCTTTAAAATGTTCTCAAGAATATCTAATTTTGCACACACAAGCTTCCAGTTAATTACTTGATTAAAA